AAACCAAACAAGAAAAAAAAAAAGGTTTTCTGTGTTGTAACACCATCTTGTGTGTTTTTAGTCCATTGCCCCTCTCCCACTATTGTCATGTCTAAAAATTAGACCTTGTTTTATATTCCTGGCTCTCCTAAATGTCAGTGTTTTACCTTCCGTTCTTTGGTTTTCTTCTCTTGTTCTGTGCCTTTCCTTTCTCCCTTCCTCTCGTTACTTATCCTCCATCCTGATGTACTCTTCATCCCACTCCCTCCCTCTCTTTCACCCTTTTCCTCCTCATATCTGCGGCCTTGTGGGGCACAGGCCCTACGGCTTAGAGGAGGATGTTAGGCAGTATGAGCAGGACCTGGCTAAGAGGCTCTACCAGGCCCGAGTGAGAGCATCTCACGGCACGGCTGTGGCCTCCCAGCCCCCCACCTCATCCTCTACCTCCTCTTCTGCAGGCTCCCAGCTCAGGTCTGCTCCTCGGCCCCAGCCATCAGGGGCAGATGCACGGCATCGTGGGGGTGTGCTGGGGTGCTTTAGCTTTGGGGTATTTCGCTAGAGGTCAAATTTAGAAGAGTCCAAGCAAGCACTGGCAGCGGCAACACTGTGACAGTGCTTCCACTGCCTTTCTAGTGCTGCACTGCTTCTGCACGTCTTTGCTGTTTTCATCTCCAGCTTCCTCTGGTTCCCTCCTCTTTATCCTCTGTCTTGTCTCCTCATCTCTGCAGCACTCTTTTCACTTTCACTTGTGCTTTGTTGTTCCCTTGATTTTCATATTATTATAATTTGTACTAACAAAGCAAGTTTGCAAGCTGTTTGTGAGTTAAGCAGCAGTAGGTAGCCCTTTTCCTGGAATGCCCCTCTTATTATTGTGCAAAGAAATTAAACTGGTTGTTGTCACAGCAAACCAGGACAAGGAGCACCCAACATTAGTAGTGATTTGCACCACACCTGGTGTGTGCCTGTGTCAGTTTGCTTCTTTGAGTTTTTGATTTTCCACTATGTACTGCCATTTATCTGAGGGTGGTTGTTTCCCATGTAGAATGAAGTCTTTGGAGCAGGATGCACTGAAAGCTCAGATGGTCATCGCCAAGTCTCGGGATGGGAGGAAACGTGGGACACTAGACCAGCTGACGGAGTCGCCCTCGCCTGCCCCCACACCCTCACCCACACCGATGGAGGGTAGGGAGCTGCTTTCTTTATCAGCACTGAAGCCTATTTACATGACTGACCTCATCTTTTAAGTGCTTTCTTAATAGAATTAACAACAAAATGTGATTTCAACTGATTACCATATTTTCTGTACTTAACAGGTGGGTTCTTATACAGAGTCACCAGCAATTTCTGACTTATGTTGTAAAGTCTTTCTCGTTCCCAGAACTAACTGACCATTTGTCATCTTAATCCCTAACTTTTATTTTGAAAATTACTATCTAAATAAATCTTTACTTAATTAAATAGTTAAATCTGAAGCTTGATGTTTCATTCCTACCCCCTGCTTGTCATTTGTATTCAACTTCACAATCTCTTTCTCTCTTTCAGAGCTCAGTCCTCGAGGAGTCACCTCACCGGGCAGACTGGTAAGCACTAAACCTTTCTACTACTTCATTTCCAGTTTGTTTTGACATATTTTTGCGCTGGCCTTTGTGTCAGTGTGAATGGTTTATGATTTGTACGGGCATGGAGAGCCTGACTCATGAAATATTTGATCGTGTAAGGATCTTTATTTATAAAAGGTAATAAATAAAGCTGTTTACTCTCTGGAAAAGGTTGATTTGCTTTAAAACACACTGGCATTCATCCATCTTCATTGTCACTCTAGTCAGTCAGAGCTGAGAGAACACACACCGCTCTCCCACCATATGCCACAGCTAGCTGTTTGAATCATCCTTTATCCTCGCTGCCTCCGACCTCTCCCTTTTCTCCTCTTTTCTTTACCCTCTCCCACCCTCCTCCTTTCTCTGCTCATTCCTGTTTGCTATCCTTCTAGTCCCTGTCGTCAAAGAAGTTTGACTACCGACAGTTTGCTGCCATTCCTTCTTCCAAACCCGTATACGACATCCAGGTATTGGCTGCATGCTGAGCTCCGGGTGTCCCCCCGGGCCTCCTCCCTTCTCCCTGGCTTTTCCTACTGCCTGTCCCTCTCTAGTGTCTCTGTTAAGAGGCATCAGTGCGTCTGCATTGTGTCTCAGTGATTGATCAGTACTTCCTGCTCTGTAGTATTATAGCAATGTGGCTCAATAACTCATTTGCACACTGAAGAGAGACTTTTACTCTGAAACAGAGACATGCCAAATCAGCCCTGGGTCTCCCTCCCTCTCATTCTGCCTCCCGCTTCCTGATCTACCACTGTAAGAGCATCTTTAGCAGTAACTCTCACACTCATTTAACTCTAAGCTAACTAATTAATCACAGACATTAACGCTCAACAGCAGCTGCAGAGATGTACACAGGGTTTTCATCTCATTAACCAGAACTGGTTCCAGGGGAAAATGGCCACAAACTCTGCATCTCATCCACTCTCACATTCACTTCCATCAGCTGTCTTGTTCCACGCATGGGTTGCATATTGGACAGACGAATAACATGCCCTTTCTCTCATGCTCTTGGTTTCCTTCTGCAGTAGTTTGCGTAGATTTGTGCGATACAGTTTGTTTCTTCCTGATTGTGTGGAGGACGAGAGGGGAGGGAGACGGGTGCTGGAGCGCGAGCAGGGCTTGTATTGAAGTGGTCTTTTATTTTTGGGGGTTCAAGTATCTGTGGTTGTCTGTCGCAATGTCAGTCTGCACCATGTGGGATTCCTGTGCGGTTTAGTTGTTGCTCAGTGACCTCAGTTTGTGCTTGTATCCTCCCTTTGGTGGGTGTAACTGAATTGGTATTGTTGTGTGTAAGTGTACTTGTTATGTTTGAGACTTCTGCACATGAACTGACAAACATAGTGGCGACAGATTCAGATCTGTTCAAATCTATTCTATTACAATACCCACATACCTGTATAAATATAGAATGGAGTACTGGTCACTCTAATCATTTCCTCCTGTTGAAGTTATCCCTTCATACTCTAAGAAATGTGGGACAACAATTAAGTCTTTGTTCTGTGCAAAGACGCACAGCTGAAGCTAATACGAGTCAAATGTTGCAGAGGTCCATTCGGATGCTGTTGGCAGCTCATGCTAGCTTCATTTGAACTGAAGAATGCACAGAACAAGGACTGTGGATTTTGTTCATCGGCTCTTATACGTGTTGTCATGGCCACCATTAAGTAATGACTACAGCGACTAATACCCCTTGTCACTGTATATGTGTACATATGGGCATGTGAGTTTTGTACGTAAACATATTGTGTTGGCATCAGTGAGATGGGTTAGACACTGATAACAAGGGAAGGTCAAACTGAAATCTACCCAAATAACATTACAAGTGTTGATATAGTAAAAGACAAATGACTTGTCTATTGCTTAGTTATCTGTTGTGCACGGTGCATTGTTGATGTTGTACAGTGGCTTCGTTGTGTCCACACGATACAACAAACCCCAGAACTGATGACCATAACGTAACTTCCCTGTCCTTCAACGTGCCAGTCTTTTCTGGAGCAGTAGTCAAGTAGAGGTACTGTGGCTTTTGTGGCTCTGACAGCCTGGGAGGTTCAGTGCCACCTGCTGGCACTTCGCTGCTAGCTCCACTGCTCACATAGCTTCAAACACTCTGCTGCTCAGTTACTCACCGTCTTTTCTTTTGTTACAGACTCCTGACACAGTTGACAACATGCAGTCCACTGATGACGGCTCCGGCAGACCAGGTGAGTACTGAAACTTTAGAACGTAAACCGGCTTTGTGAAAAGTAGAAGTGACAAATGTGTGCCATTACTCCAGTTTATTCTATTCTCCTTGATTCAGGTGACTACCTGGGATAAGCAGCTCCTATTGGTAGGATCTTGTGTGCATGTGTTTGTACCTGAGTGTGTGATTTTATGCAGATGTGTAACTGTGTTCTATTTATATGGTTGTCACAGACTGACTGGTTAGGAAAAGTGCAAAAGAATTAACTTTCCAATATCTATGTCTGCCTATCTAGTAAGAAAGGTTTCAGGAGGTACTTCATTTATCTTAACCTAGTCATTATCTTCAATCTCTTTTTATATTTAAAAAAAAAATTCCCCCACTCGCCCCCACTTTGGGGCGGTCTTGTATTCCTTTAAGCTCGGGTCCTCTACCAGAGGCCTGGGAGCTTGAGGGTCCTGCGCAGTATCTTAGCTATATGCTCCCCCTCATAGCATTCATGTTGTACCTCTCCTTATCTTTTGTTTCACCAACGGAAACAATTAAACTGGGCAACAGTCAGCTTCAACATGTATTTGCCTAACTAGGGTTCTAGTTTGGGTTAACTGGGCATTTTACATGTACAGGACAAAGACTTGCTATGGCACAGATCAGGTGGTTGAAAGTAAAGACAAGTACACATAGCAACAGTTCCACCCAAAATCAGACTAATACAAATTAACCCTTTGATGGCAGTTTCCACTGCTGAACATTTGACTGTTTGTCAAATTGCAGCATTTGTGCTGTAAGAAACAACTGGGCTCTCCTGTTCCAAATATTAGGAAGCAACATCGTGCATCATTACTATCACTGAAAACAAGTGAACTGTGTGTCCTAAACAAAGTCAAGGGTAGGAGAGACGGCTCATTAGGGCTGCGCCGCCAAATAGTCGAGTCGTTAGTCAAGAGACCTGTCAGTCGACTGAGACTCTTCTAAACAGAGAAGCTTAAACTCATTGGTAAACTAGGCTACAGCCCTGTCTCAGATGAAAACGAGAGCCTTTAAGAGCATTGTTTCAATAGAGATACAAGTGTGCTGCCTGTCTTGTTATTTTGACAAATCCATATGGCAGCCCTACATTATATATTAATTTAATTATGCCACAATTTAAATCTTGCATCACAGACGGCTGTCTTATGTGTTTGTTTTTTTTAAGCTGCATTAACCAATAACAGAAGCCAGTAAAAGTTCCAAATATGTTCATGTATAGCAGGTGGATGGCACAGTGGTAGATGCCGCTGACTGTGGTACGGCAGGTCAGGGTTCGCGGCCAGTCATGGGTCCTTCAGCAAGGCCCTTAATGCTATGTGCTGAGCGAGGTACACCATGAACCCCTACGGCAGGGAAAGCTGGGACGCCGCCGGAAAGTGGGGAGATTTCATCCTCCCCCACAACTGAAGATGGAGAAGAAGAAGATTCGCTTTTCAGAATAAAATATACGGCTAAGACTATGGATATATGGTGTGGGTTTGTGGTGGGGTCCTCCTGAAACCAGCAGGCTGGCAACATGAGAGAAAGGGGCAGAAGAAGCAAAGATGGAAGATCCCCTGCTCCTATTCTTTTATGTGTGCCTGTTCTATAAGACTTATTAAAACTCTGCAACACTGTCTTTACAACATAGATGTTCAAAAAAGCAGGGGATCTCCTATCTTCTTCTGCCCCTTTCTCTCATGTTGCCAGCCTGCTGGTTTCAGGAGGACCCCACCACAAACCCACACCATATATCCATAGTCTTAGCCGTATATTTTATTCTGAAAAGCGAATCTTCTTCTTCACTCTTCTCCATCTTCAGTTGTGGGGGAGGATGAAGTCTCCCCACCTTCCGGCGGCGTCCCGGCTGGCGTACCGGCTTTTCCCCCCCCTCGGGGT